TTACAGGTGGTAGTATTCCCATATATCTGCTATCTTTATCTTTCTAGAGGGAAGTGGTCATGTGTTTGGAAGGTGCTGTTTAAGGATCTTTGGTGGATTTCTGCAGTGCATCTTGTAGATGGTACATGCTCCTACTGCTGAGTATCAGTGGTGGATGTTTGTGGATGAGGTGCCAATTAAGCGGGCTGCTTTGATCTGGATGGTGTCAAGCTTCTTGAGTGTTGTTGGGCTGCACCCATCCAGGCAAGTGGGGAGTATTCCATCACACTCCTGACATGTGCCTTGTAGATGGCAGACAGGCTTTGGGGAGTCAGGAAGTGAGTATTCCCAGCCTCTGACCTGCTCTGGTATCTGCAGTGTTTATGTGGTGAGTGTAATTGAGTTTCTGGGTCAATTAAAACTCCAAATTGTAAATCAATTGTTGGTGATATCAACTATCTGATAGTTGATCAGTGATGGTAACACAATTGAGTATCAAGGTGCTGTGGTTAGATTGTCTCTAATTGAATTGCTAGTCACGTTTGTTTTTCCAGGGAACTGAAAAGTCACAACCCCTCTGTCTGCTGGGCTTTTACCTGAAGTGTTGGCTTGTTAAGAGCATCCCATGCACTTCATCCATCAAAGCTTTGTTTGGGCTTTTGATTCGAAACCACTGACCCCACAGACTTTCCGTTAGAGATGCTGCTGTCGAAACCAAATCGTCTTTGCGATCTTCTGTGACTGTGTGGTCAAATCCCATTCTTGGAGGTCAGCAATAAGAACGACAGACCATAGTGTGCAAGCTGTTGTCCTGAGCTCACTCTTTCAGCAGCTCATCTCGCTGAATGTAGACACTTTTCCTGAATAACCAAGATTATGAGAGCTAGCAAAAAGAATTCTTGCCGTGGATGTTGACTGGGATGGAGTTTGCATCCAGTGAGCCCAATTAGGAATGTCTCCAAGAAGCTATTTAATACCAATTTGGTTAGCAAGGACAAACACTGTGGTGGAGATTGAGCAGCTTGGGAGGGGGTAGGTGCCAAATTTTACTGACCTCTAGGGGTTGGCGCCTCTGTGGAGCAAAGTGTTCCCATGAGCACAGTTCTTGCTAATTTTCTTTTCTTCTTCTGCATGGACCTCCAAGATCCATGCGCAGCAGAGACCCCTAGAATTGGATGTCAATGCTGCATGCCGATCACCATGTACAGACCTGCAGAGGAAGCTGCCTGGCTCCACAGCTCAGAGAAAACCTTGCCTGTGAGCCCTGATGGAGGTCACCAGGGCTTATTTGGACAGTCTTCCCCAGCAGCAGGGGACACCGTCCACATTTGAATGCGCGGAGATGGCCTTGGGAGTTCATTTTAAGTGGCACCATTGCCCTCCAAGCAGGAAGGCTGCCCTCCATTTTCCTCCCACTTCTCCCTCAACCTTCCCATTTGATTTTCTGAGCCCCACATGTCTGCACCCCTTTATCCCACTCCTGCAGAAAATTCAGCCTGGTGCATGTGAGACACACAAACCTACAGGTTTGAGGTGGATCAATGGCTGGGCTATAGTTCCTGCTATCAATCAACTCTGTGGGTGGGCTACAGTGGGTGAGCAGAAAAAGGAGGTGAAGTAAGTAGCCATAAGAACATAACTGGGGGAGGGGGGGAGCAGCTTTGTATTTTATTTCTGGACATCTGGAATTGCACTTCCCCATTAGCCTAATGAAGAAAGCCATCAGCATGCAGGGCGTTTCTGGCCAGTCCAGTGAGAAAGAAGGTATGTCTCAGAAACTGGGGGAAGCCTTGAAGAGTTGATGCTATGGTTTTGCATCCAGCGGGAGGTCATGTTCTGACTCCTGACCCCACAATGGCAAGTGTTTCACTGACCACAAGGTGTCTCTACACCCTTACTGACCTGCCCGCACTGGGGGAAAATGCCATAACACAGTTTTACTGCCATGATAAAGATTAAACTCCAATGATGTAACAGGATATCACTTACCTTCATTAATGTACTGCATCCCATACACTTCCAACTGGCCCCTTAGTCACTAACCAGCAATGAGCTGTTAAAATGGTAGCATTATGAATGGTGGGCAGGATGAGTTCAAAACTATCTCCAAGCCCATTCCAGTCACCTTCAAAACACTGCTCATAGGGATTGGGATGTGAGTCAGACCGTTTCACACAATTTGAGAATGATGAGATACTTGCTGTGCAAAATGGCACAGAGCAGATTGGAGGCAATTTGAGCCTAATAAAAAGGATGAGAGAAGGATTGAGTTAAATATTGATTTTCCTTTTGTTTTTGGCCTCTGTAGAAATTGAGAGTGAAATAATTTTGATTTTGAATTGCCTTAGCACTTGGCAAAGGAATGACATGGTGGCTCAGTGGTTAGTACTGCTGCCTCATAGCACCAGGGACCTGGGTTCAATTCCAGCCTTGGGTGTTTGTCTGTGTGGAGTTTGCACATTCTCCCCATGCCTGCATAGGTTTCCTCCCACAGTCCAAAGATGTGCAGGTTAGGTAGATTGTCCATGCTAAATGGCCCATAGTGTCCAGGGATGTGTAGGCTAAGTACATTAGCCATGAGAAATGCAATCTTATAGGGTAGGGGTGGTGGGTCTGGGTGGGATGCTCTTCAGAGGGTCAGTATAGACTGGACAGGCCAAATGGCTTGCTTCCATACTGTAGAGACTCTCAGAATTGCAGAAGTCTAGACATGAAATAGTTTTGTGCCTAGAACTCACTCAGGATTGCGATAATTTGTTGATTCCCCATTGACTTGTGAATGCTGAAAGACTTTGCCTTCAGGCTATGGTAAATACGTGACAGTATGTGCTACACAGCCTGGCTAAATCCTTACACTTGAAACAAGGATGTTAAATCCTTTTCCATAAGTGACAATTAATGTTAAATTAATTGGTGATTTGAACTCTGAGAGTTATACAGTTTTGTTAACTAAAATGAGGCAAAAAGGAAAGGTCTTTGAAATTAGTTTGCGGATCAGCTTTGATCTGATTGAATGATGGAACAGACTCGAGGGGATAAATGACAAACTTTTATTGCTATCTTCTCATGACCCACAGATATTGCCTGTTCTACATTTAGATGGAACATTTATACAAATCATATGACTGCAAATCTACTGGAGGAGTCAAATAAGTGATATTATGCTTTATTATTTATAGTTGCTAATTCATTGTGTTCTTAATTTTCAAAATACTATGTTCTACGATTTTATTAACAGGTTGTTAATGAAAATGAGAAAGAATTCTTCCCTCATAGAGAGAGAAATGAGTGCTATTTAGGGACAGGTTTGTAATGTGGTTCATGGACATCAGGAGCTCAGTTGAAATTACCCATTAGCCTAATTAGCCATTAATTTCCTCCAGGCTGCTTGTGATTTTTTCTGCATAAACTTTTTTTTAACAACTTTTTTCTGGTTCAAGGTTCTAAATTTCCAGTGAATGACATCGACTGTATTTGATCACTATACAAGTCTCTAATTTGCAGATGTTTAGCTAATGGCACTGGACCACTTGGTATACTTTTGAGGCTATATACAGAGTTGCATACTTAGAATTGAAGGAATCAATTTTTGAACGAGAATTTCTGAGATACAAGCTTTGTTAAGAAGGCCTTCCTTCTTTGTCCTGGAGAAGTTGAATTTGCATTTGAATGGCTTGCTCAGTACTTCAGAGGGAAGTTATTGAAGATTGGACGGATGTCATTGAGTCATAGGGTCATACACATGGAAACAGACCCTTCGGTCCAACTAGTAGACACCGATCACGCTCCCAAACTAAACTTGTTCCACCTACCTGCATTTGGTCCATATCTCTCCAAACCTTTCCTATTCATGTACTAATCCAAATGTCTTTTAGCCATTGTAACTGTACCTGCATCCATCACTTCCTCTGGCAGATCATTCCAATTATGAAGAACCCTCTGTGTAAAAAAGTTGCCCCTCATGTTCTTTTTAAATCTTTTTCCTCGCATCTTAAAAATATGCCCCCTTATTTTGAACTTCCCGCCTTATGGAAAAGACATTTGCCAATCATCTTTATCTACAACCCTAATGATTTTATAAACCTCTATAAGATCATCATTCAAACTCCTATGCTCCAGTTAAAAAAAAGTCCCAGCCTATCCAGACTTTCCTTATAACTCTAACCCTCCATTCCTGGCACCATCCTGATAAATTCTTTCTGAACCCTCTCCAGTTTACTAATGTCCTTCCTATAACAGGGCAACCAGAACTGTACACAATACTCCAGAACAGGCTTTACCAACATCCTGTACAACCTCAACACGATGTCCCAACTCCTATAAACAAAGGTGTGAACAATGAAGGCAAGCATACTAAACACCTTCTTAACCACCCTGCCTACCTGTGACGCAAATTTCAAAGAATTATGTACTCGAACCCCTAGGTTTCTCTGTTCTACAACACTGCCTAGGGCCCCAACATTAATTGTATAAGTCCTGCCCTTGTTTGTATTACCACAGTGCAATACCTCACATTTATCCAAATTAAACTCCAACTGCCACTCCTCAGCCCGTTGACACAATTTGTATCATCATTAATCATGGGTGAGGTGCCGTGTCACATTTAGGCTACACTGTGTTAGAAGAGAGCACAGGGAGCCCTTACAAAAATGTGACAAATGCTTGGTCTCATTTGCTGATGCCAGCTTTTTCTTGGAGAAGACAGCATTCACACTCTCGAATTGCCCTGGTGAGAATTGGGTTTCGTTCTGCTGGAGATAGACACGACAGACTGTGGAACTGTTTTGCCAAACCCCAGAGGGACCACTTGAGGGAAATGACTACTCCATTACGAGACTTAATCCAGTTTGTACCAATGACAATGCCATTCCTAGTGGACATTGACATGTAGGAGAAAACTATCCCTATCTAGCTAGTAGATGTTGTTTTGAGTTTGGGGCATTATTGGATGAGAATGATGCATTGTTGGGCCTTGTGTTTGACAAATGCTAAAATTTACCCATTACTGCTCCCTACTGCAGGCTAGTAAGAAGGAAAAGTATCATCAGGTTCGCTCCATGATGTTTGACTTGATGGAATGGCGATCTCAGCTGCTTTCCGGAACACTGCCCAAGGATGAACTGAAAGAACTGAAGCAGAAAGTCACCTCTAGAATTGATTATGGGAACAGGTAATTATAGGAAGGCTGTTGGCTGATTTACCAAATTTTCCACCCCATTGTGTTCAACCTTGGTGGTGCTCAGTGTGATGAAACTGAATGCGGCCAAGCCCTTTCCCAGGATCCATTTTGTCAACAAACGATGGTTCAGTGTGTTGTTTATCCTTTATCTTTCTTATCTCCTGCTCCCAAGGGTTATACAATGCAGAGACCATCAGTGTTTTGTTCTCTCACATTGACATTGAATAGCTCAATGCTCAGAAAAACTCTGTAAACAGGGTAATAAACGGGCTGATCAAATTAATCATCCACAATTTTCAATTCTTTACAGGCTGCTGAAAAATTGTGAAGATAAATTCTTTAATCGGGAAACAGAATTTGCTCATATCCCAGAAGGGTTTGGGCGAAAGTCTTTGATCTATTTGATTTAATCAAATTATCAAACTTTATCATCTTCCCACCATTATTCCCATTCTTTCATAAACTAGCTTGAGAGAGAGAAAGAACCCATCGCTACATTTCAGGCTTTTTTATTTCTCAGTCAAGGACTTCTTCATGTCATCCTTTCAGATCTGGAAAGTTCCAGATTTTCTTTGCATTGGTCTCACACATGTGCCCTCCACATTGGCAAGTTTGGCATTGGCAGGGACTTTTATACAGGTATGAGGGTGACATTCACCCTGATAAAGTCCAAGACAGGGAGACCTGTTCAGAACATTCTTGTCCTGCCATGAATTGAGGCCCTTCATTCTCATTCAATTGCCAGAAAGAGAGAGAGAGAGAAAGAGAGAGATAGAGGAGAGAGACCAACATTGTCAATTTTAGGGAAGGCTCAGCATATCTCATTACATTCAGGCACTTGGTAGGCCAGCAGCAGATTGAGGATCCAAAAGCTGTCAGCCAATCTGAGGTCAGCAGCACAATTGAATGGTAGCACTGCCTGCCTGCGAGATGCTTGATTTCTGCCCAGACTGACAGATGTAAGGCCGCATCTGGTTGTAAGTGCCTTGTGTGAAAAGAGTTAAGAAAACTTTCATTCAGTTCCAAATGAATGGCCAACAGCACAAAACAAACCCTAACCTAACACTAGATTAGCATCACGCTCGGAAAAGTTTCAGAATGGTTGCTGTGGGATTCTTGACGTTAAAGCAGTTGAGCTTTGCTTGTGTGAGGTTGGATTGAGGCACGTTGCTGGCACAGATAGGAGTCTTTACTCCACTCCTCACTGCACTACACATTATTGGGGAGGGTTAGCTGACATGATTTGGAGTTCCATCCCCCCCTGCTAATGTCCTTGACCCTGACACTCAAAATTAAATGAAATATATCCAGCTTCCAATTCCTTTCAAACATCCACACCCCCCCCAACCCCTCCACCACCGTGTCCCTGTTCCTCTTGCAAGTTTGCAGGTATTGAACAAATCCATCTCTCCACTCCTTCCCAGTGGAATTGTTTGACAACATCAATGAGCAATTTTCACTTGAGGGGTAAACTGGTGAAATGGGACCTTTGCCAACCGAAGTTGTTTCCCAATTTTAGTTTGCCTTAATCAATGGAAACAGGAATCAAGTGTGATCTATAACAGGAACTGTTCTGCTAGCTGATCGCTCAAGCAGTGTGCTCTGAAAATATACTCCCTAAGTAGCTGCTGACCCATGAGGTATAACTACATGGGTGAGGTGTCAGAGTCGTTAACTCCACTTGTAGCTCCATAAGTGCCAAGTTACAAAGTAGAAAATTAAAAGGAAAAGTAAAGGAACAAAAAGAAATCTGACTTTATGTTCTTACTATGATCTTTGCAGGATCCTTGAACTTGACCTTGTTGTCAGAGATGAGAATGGCAACATTATGGACCCAGATGAAACCAGTGTAATTAGCTTATTCCATGCTCACGAGGAGGCTACAAAACAAATCTCGGAGCGTATAAAGGAAGAAATGGTATTGCTTTCATTATTTACTGACATGTTTGTGATTCTAAAGAATATAATAACTTGTGGTTGATATGGAAGGTCATTGAACCATAATAATGGTCCTCTTGAGATATCACCCAACTGAGTGAATCAAGGAAGGAATAAAGAGAATAAAAATTAGGTCACCTTTTGGATAGTAATGGTGTGAAGGGCAGATGGGGACAAGAATTCTTAGACTCTTCAGGAACAACTTTTACATCAACATGTTTCTGATCTGTGAGGAAGGAATCAGTGCAGGAGCTAGTTATAGAGTCATAGAGCCATACAGCATGGAAACAGACTCTTCGGTCCAATTCGTCCATGCTGACTAAGTTTCCCAAACTAAACTAGTCCCATTTGCCTGAAATTGCCCCATATCCCTTGAAAACTTTCCTATTCATGTTCCTGCCCAAATGTCTTTTAAATGTTGTAACTGTACCTGCATCTATCACTTCCTCTGGCAGTTCATTCCACAAACAATAGTTCTGGGGAATGAGGTGGGTTAAGTGGATCTACTGTCTGAAGGGGAGCACTTAACTAATATTGATCATAGTATCATAATGTTAGGTTTTATAGAAAATGAAAATTTTGATTCAGAATAAGAATAACAAATTGATGGAGGGCCAACATCAACAGAGTGAGAATAGATCCAACCCAGATACATTGGAATCTAAGATTAGTAGGCATAATTACACTGGAGCAAAGGGCTACTTTTAAACAGGAGATTGTTGGAGTACCGTGAAAGTATTCATGATGTGGATAGGTATAGCAAATAAATCCAGAGCTCCCTGGGTGATGAAAGAGAGACACAGTAAGCTGAAGTAGAACAAGTGTGAATATGGCATCACTAGGTGGATTATGTAATTGAAAACCAGACTGAATATAGTAAATTCAGAGAGGAAGTGAAAAACACAAATTAGAATCAAAGAAAGATCATGAGCAGTGCCTGGTAGCGAACATAAAAGAGAAGTGTGAGTTGTAGGAGAAATTTCATCTATCAGTGCTACATCGCTGCCAAGTGAAAGACCCAACTGCCTTCCAATGATACTCTATTGATCCAGCCCATGGGCATCCAGAGAAGTGATGGCTGTAGAGGTGCAGGCAGAGAGAGAGCCCTCATTGTTGTCAGTGCTCACACCAAGTCCAAATTCAGTTCAGCGTCATTACCTTGCTCTCTCACCCACAATGAGGAGCTATCCGGCTGCACTGTTCAAGAGCTGGCATTATTTTGTCAGGATTTGTCTCCCACTATTGGCATATGCCTCCCAGTCTCTGTCTATGGCCCCAATCCTTGGTTGACTGTCCCAGGCTCCCCAGATATGTGTAAATTGCTTCATCCTTACATGCACAGACGGGTACATTATTATGCATGGAACATAGTGACATCATTGTACACCTGTAGATGTAGTCTGGCTTAGGGACGTCTGTTGAAGGAACTGACTTCACTGGGCCCATTTGAGCATGTGCAAGTGGCCATTTTCACAGTCATCTTTCCATTTGGGCTAATTACTTCAAAGAGGAAATCCAAAAGTCTTTACTTGGCTTGTAAATTGTAAAAGAGTCTAACAAGAGAAGTTCTGCTAATTGTGGACTCAAAAGAGGATTTTCACATGGAGCCAGAGGGCATGACTGTTCTTCTGTCTTTGCTTAGGAAGAAGTTGTTGCCCAAGTCATAATTACAAGTGGAGATAATTGAGATGCTTGATTGGTTTAACATTGGTAAAGCGGAGTTTTTTAATAGGCTGTCGCTATTTAACGCTGATAAAACACCAGGACTGAATGAGATACATCCAAGAATACTGAGGAAAGTAAGGGTGGAAATTGCAGAGGTACTAACTATAATTTTCCATTTCTGCTCGGATTAAAAAACTGATGCTAGAAGACTGGAGAATTATGAATGTTACCTCTGCTCAAAAATGTGCAAGTTTTAACTCAGCAAGGCCAGTTAGTTTAACCTCCATGGTGCAAAAACTGTTAGAAATGATAATTCTGAATAAAATTAGTCATGACTTGGATAAATCGAAGTTAATTAAGGAAAGCTAACACAGATTTTTAAACAACAAATTATGTTTAACTAACTTAGTTGAATCTTTGGATGAAGTAACACAGAAGGTTGATGATAGCAGTGCTGTAAATGTGTTGCAGATAGATTTCTAAAAGTGCTTGACAAAGTGCCATGTAACAGAATTGTTAGCAAAGTTAGGGCTCAGGGCTTAAGAGTGCCAATAACACGATGGATACAAAATTGGCTGAGAGACAGGAAACAGAGAAGAGGCAATAAATTACTATTCAGAGTACAGAAAAGTTGATAGTGGGGGTTGGTATTGTACTTCTGATTCTCTTGATATATAATTAATGATGTAGACAGAGTATAATTTCCAAATTTATGGAAACACAAAATTAGAAATAATGTGAATTGAAAGGAGAATAGCATTAAATTACAAAAGGACATGGACAGGTCAGTGGAATGCATAGACAGTCAGCATAGAAATTTAATGCAAAAGTGATTCATTTTGGTTGCAATAATACAGGAGGCATTGTGAAAATTAAGGGAATTCTAACATAGCTGTAAAGGTAAAGGAATCTGGGGATATTATATATACACACATACATACATAAATCAATGAGTTAGTGAGGCAGATTCAGAAAGAAGTTAATAGAACGATATGGGACCTTGGGCTTATAAATAGGAGTACAGAGTACAAAGGCAAGTTAACATTCATGCAGTACTTGTATTGCATTCAGTTCAGAGCACTACACTTTCGGAAACTGCAGAAAGGATTCATGAGAATGCTTCCTGGCAATCCTGAGGAATTTCTGTTACGTGATTAAATTAGAGAAGTTAAGGCTGTTTTCTTTTCTGAAAAGGGAACGTGAAGAGGAGCTTTGATAGAGGTGGTTGAAATCATTAGGGGCTTGCGTGGAGTAGAAAGGAAAGAAGTATTCCCATTGGTTGCAAGATTGAGAACCATTGCACACTAATTAAAATCAGCAAAAAAGAATGATGACATGAGGAAAGTATTTATTCAGTATGCGGTTAAGATCAGGAATGTATCCCCTGAGAGTGTGGTCGAGGCAGATTCAATTTTTATGAGAGAATTGGATAATTATTCAAAGAGAAGCAAATGGCAGTGCCAAGAGGTAAAGTGTGAGAAATGACACTATGTGGGTTGCTCTTCTTCAGCTAGAAAAGACTGAGCAGGGTGCATGGTGTCCTTTTGACCCGTAATCATTCCAAATGATTTTATATGGAGAGTGACTGCCAACAGGGACTAAGTGGGTTGAATGTTCTGCCTCTGTGCCATGCCTTCTGACATTTCAGGCATGGATGATCACCTGCTGCAGGATGAGAAAGTAAGGGGTGGCACAGTGGCTCAGTTGTTAGCTCTGCTACCTCACGGGGCCAGGGCCCTTTGTTAGATTCCACCCTTGTATGACTGTCTGTATGGAGTTTCCCCTGTGTCTGTGTGGATTTCCTCTGGATGCTCTGGTTTCCTGCCACAGTCCAAAGATATACAGATTAAGTGGATTGGCCATGCTAAATTCAGCATAGCGTCCAGGGGTGTGCAGGCTGGGTGATTTAGCCAAGGGATATGCAGGGTTACAGGGTATGGCGGTGGATCAGGGTGGTATGTTCTTTGGAGGGCTAGTGTGGACATGATGGGCTGAATGGTCTGCTTCTACACTGTATGGGTTCTATACTGATAAATAGAGAGCAAGAAGAGGTTAATTTACTTTCGATTAGAACACCCATTCTGTGTATGTAAGTAGTGTTCCTTCACACTATAGTGTGACACGGTGACACAATTTTGTTCATGTGCTTAAAATCTGCAAGCCCAAATACCTCAAATTCAATTTGACACTTGGGCCATTTGCTCGCTAACAATTAAAGCACAATGCAACAATTGGCATATTTTTGCCTCATTCAAATGCCATTGTAAGTTCTTCTATTTGAAAATTGTGTTAAAAATTTGAGGGAGTGTCAGCTCTGTGAAATCAGGATATTACCCAAAGGACAGGTCTTTCAGAGAACCTTGCACACCACAGTTGTAATAGGTCAGTCAGTGTCTGGAAGTGAAGAGACCCAGAGAGTGAGCAACATGGAAACACTTTCATGGTTATATCACTTATTTGTAATATTTGGAATGTACTTGAAAAGTTTTTTTTCGCATCTAGCACAAATGTCTTGGTTGGCACAATGACGACTTGTGACTGTTGTAATTTTGCCATCACACTCTGTCAGCTTGTTAAAACATCAGTCTCGATTGTTGTTTTTCTGCTAATATTGGCTGCAGAGCTGCCAGCTCAGGATTTCTATCTGAAAGAATATGCACCTGCTGTGATCTTTAGACCAGGGGTGGTCTTCACAACTGGCCATTTTGACAGACCATGCCGTTAACGGTATCAGACAAAGATGAGAATGCAACTTGCCTCCTGTTGTCTTCCAAGGAGATTTGTTTAAAATAGCTATGGTTGGAAGAAAACAGAGGAAATTTCAAGCAAATCCGAAACACACTCCTGCTCAAAAATCTCTGAAAAAGAGACTGAGCAAATTTCTTAAAGGAGAGGAAGGAAGGATTTTCTGTCCTGACAATGTCGTATGTGTCCAAAGTCCACAATAGACATTACTGACATTTGACTTTCCCCATTCACCTCTCCAAAAGGAAGTACAAATTGCTAAAGTTATCTTTTTACTGAAACAAGTTTCCTCTACCTTTCTGATTATCTTAGTGAAACTAGCTGTATGCATAAGAGCTGGACTTGTGCCAACTGGAGATGCTGCAGGGCAACATCAGGAATCTACTAGAATGCAGTATTGGGAGAAAGCATTAAACTACCTCGATGTGAGCAGCTATTAGGCAGTCTACAGTGGGGCAGCTTTTAAATATAGAACATCTGTTCCCTGCGTATAACAGAGGTACAGTGTATTTGGCCCACCATGTCTGTGCTGACTGTGATGCTACTTTAAAATAGCCCCACCTGTCTGCA